AAAGTAACAATTCAACCTAATGGTTGATATTAGAAGGGTTTGGCAATTTTCTTCATATCAAAAACAAGTATAAAAAATATGATGCAATAAGAAGAGGAAGCTACAATTAGTTTAAAAAAGAAAAAGGATTTTAACTAGCTCATTAATACAAACAAAACTAACCGCATCATAAATAGGAAGTTGATCATAGGCTGGTCGAACGATTTCAGTTACCTTCATCAGAACATCATTATTCAACAGAGACGATTCGTCTAATAATTCGATCCAGATTACGTAAACAATATTTGGCATAACATTTTCATTGTTAAATATCCCATCATTATCCAGAACCCACTGCAAAAGATTCAAATATAAATCCACATCGAATCAGCATCAATTTGGATTATCCAAATGATTAAGTTTGCCCTACAAGCAAACGATTAAGTCTTGTCCTCCAAATTTATGGGCAAATATTGGATAATCACAATAAAACTAAAAGTACAAATAAATTCAACACTTCAATTATTTCGCTCATAAAGTTGAAGTTATCAAAAGTGTAACAACTGGAGGATAAGCACTGCGCAACAATAATTAAAAGATTAATAAATTAAAATCTAATGAAACCATCATAAAACAAAATTTTAGGATAACCACAAAAAACAACAAAAGTTACCTCAAAATGCGGTGACCAAACATACTGTTCAAAAGTGCTATCTGAATCATTCGATCGACAAGGTGTAGCTGCAACTGTTTGAATCTGAAAAAGTTAATATCATGAAAGGAAAAAAAGACAATTTTGACAACTTTCTTTTTTCTTTTTTTCTTTTCCTTCAGAAGAATGAATCCTGTGACCGCTTTTTATTTTGAGAAAATGATAAAATTTGCAATTTTGAGAAAGCAGTTGAAAGGACAACGCTAGTTTCGTCAAAGGAAGAGCCTTTACTTAATTATTTCAGGCCATTAGCTTTCGGTAGACAAGGAATACTATCAATTTCTACTAATTTATTTAATTAAATATGAGACCATAATTTGCGACAATGAGCATTTCGACAATTACATTACTTTAAATATACATAATAGCTGCCATTATTTCCTCTTTTAGTCTCAACAGTGTTGGCCCAAAACAAGCAGCGATATTATCCCTCATCATAAAACTCTCACAAGAATGAACCGCTACCTTCTTTAGATCCTCGATAATAATTTGGAACATTATCTCAAAATGTATTTGCGATAATTTATAGGCAAAATAATGAATACTATATGAATTAATTATTCATATAGTGAATATTATATGATTTAATTATTCATATAGAACAACTAATTCATATAGTATTTACTTAATTAATTGTATGCAACAAAAATTAAAACTTATCGAAATTCGGGTACTTGTTGAACCATCACTATTATACAGCTTTACAATTTTGGTCGGAAGAATTGGTGAAGAAGCTTCAATGTTTGGTACCATCGAATCATCACTAAACTACAAAACGAAAGAAAAGAAAATATATCCAAGAAACAAAAGTCATACACTTTTTTTTCTTTAGTTGAAAAATATTTATTCATCCATTATCATTCAATTGCTATCTTTATATTTGTTTTAGACACAAGTTTACACTGATTCATTTTTTTTTTGCCAAATTATATTTAACCATATGAAGGTCACTTACATTGGATGTAAAAGTCAAATAATACTTCACTAAAATATGTTTCATCTTCTCATACCAGAAATTGGTTTTTCGAAGTAATGTAATTAATGATCGAAATATGCAATTGAAAATACGAAATGGAATATAATTTAGCATTTCAACTTATATCCATCTACTCATAATCAATGAAAATCAAATGAAAAATAAATAAGTGAATATTTTTCCGATGGTATATATTAAAGTAAATGTTTTGAATATTTGTCACAGCTTTTTTCTTTTTTAATTTTGATGAATAAAAAATTACAGCTTAAAATATCAAAATGTGAGCTAAAATAAAATCGAAATAACTCAATAATCAAAATATATGAAAGGAAAAATACATAATTTTCGGTATAATTTTATATTCTAGCTATAATAGTAAATTGGAATTTTCTCACAGTTAACTGCACAATCTTTGCTTCTTTTCGAATTTAAGTTTGAATTTTAATTATAAATATCATTTGAAACTTAAATGTAGAAAATAAATTACTATAGCAATTTTAAAAAATCATCGAAAATCGGTGAAATTGCAAAAGAATAATTATAGTTCATAAATCCCTAATTATATAATTCTTCATTTTTCTTTCTTTTTTTTTAAACTGAACGCTTCGTTTAATATAAATGGAAATCAAATTCAAATTAATAATAAAATCAAATTAATCAATTAGTTAAATAAAAATAATATTGTCTTTCAAACTTCGTAAATCACTTACAGAGAAATTGATCCAACTACCTGGTACAATATTTGTTGTTATTTCACAACTGAATTGATAAATTTTATTCTTCCTTAAAACTTTAATTCGACCATCGAATACTTCCAAAACAATACCCAAATAGTATGCGCCATACATTGTAATCTTTAATTATTTATGAACGATTAATAATAAACATTAATAGTTTCGACCAATCAACTCAATTTTAATTAGTTAAATTTAAAAAAAAAAATAAAAAATTTCAAGTAAACTTTCTAAAAATTCTAAGTTTAATTCTATAAATTCTAAATTTCTAATTTTGAAAAATATATAAAATGTATAGAATTAAGTTAATTAAGTTAATACATTATGAAATAAATATATGGAGTGAAAAAAAAGAGCAAAAAGTAACAATAAATGGAATAAACAAGTAATTATATGAATAAATTTATTAAACTTAGCTAATTTGATTAATTCATAAAATGAAATAAAATAATCGAATTTGAGAAAATAGGCCAAGCATAAGGTTTTTGATTAATTCATAAAATGAAATAAAATAATCGAATTTGAGAAAATAGGCCAAGCATAAGGTTAGCCAAGAAAACAGGTACAACAAACAATCTCCATCGATACCCTTATAAAGATGCATGTCTGACTATTTTTGTACATGTGCTTTCGTGTACCTTACGTGTCTGTCTGTCCGTCTGTCTGTCTGTCTGTCTGTCCGTTTGTCTGTCTGTCGGTCTGTCTATATATATAT